ATGCATTATGCATTAAATATTTTTATAATCATTCAGAACTATTTGTATTAAACAGTGGTAGCAGATACTCAGTTAAGATTTTAAACTACAGGACATATCAGAATATCATAGATTAGATTATGGTGGATATCTTCAGACAATTTTATTTTATATGGCATGGAAGGGTGGAAGACTAAACATTTTTAATCCAAAAACAACTCTGCTCATGATTTGATCTATACTGATAAAAGCTAAGAAATTCATATCTGAACTTGTCACTTAAATACGAACTAAAAATCTTTAGCAGTAAAAAGGGCAAAGAATCAAGAGCAGCCACGCTGTATGTGCAGAGGTAAAAAAAAAAAAAATCAAATAACTTTAAATTTAGAAAATGAAACATGGAGTCAGTAGCCACTGGCTACTGTATCAAAGTCTGTATCAAAGATGTTCCCACACACAAAGATGTTCCCACACTGTTAGGTAATCTGTGAGATGATTTAGTGGGCATCTCTATCAGAAGTCCAGTCACACAACTGGTTTTTTTTGCAGAATCAACACATGAATGAACTGATCTCTAATTATTCTGGCAAGGCAGAGGACATTCTGCACTTGATTCTCTGGTGTTATCAATTTGATACCTCTGTAACTGCTAAATTAATTTTTCTGTACTTCAGGAGTCTGTTTCATTCTTAATCTGATAAGGATGAAATTCACCCTGCCTTACAAGGTCCTAGAGAGTTCCAGTGCAACAGATCCATTGATATTCTAGTGCCCATGCTGAGGACAGATAACTGGAGAGATCTGTGGGTGCTGCAGATCAGTTTGGTTAGTTTGTTTGTTTGTTTTTCCTGGCACACTTCATAATATTCCACAAGAAAGCATACCTAGGCCTTCTGGGAAGACATAAGGGCACTACTGATAAACATCTGATCTACCCAGAGACATGCAGCTAAGACTGTGTAAAAGATACTGAACCATCTTAAGCCCAACACTTCTCCAAGAGGTAATGCTTTTTTTGCATGTGTGTATACTACAAACATAAATATACCCTACCCTGGGCTGGGTATTTTTGTATCCCAGGATTATTTACTGTTCACTGTGAAAATGTTACTGCTTTCATTACTCCAGAATAAATATATAAATAGAATTACAATCCTGTCACAAGAAAGAACCCTATTTCCTTTCAACTTTCTTCTCTGTTACACCAGGTTGCTCACCCAGAACTTGACTGAACCAAACTTGTCCTTTGCTACTGGATATAACAGGGATTTTCATGCCATTCAAGCCACAGAAATTCAAGCCCGAAAAAATCAAGGTCAACTTATCTCTATATCCACAACTATGCCCCATGGAAACTCTTTCTCATTGTCTTTATTACACAAATGATTTTAAGAGGCATACTGAAATAAGCAGGCAGTTCTGTCACTTCCACTGTAAAGGGCCTGTTACAGATCCATGGTTGCTTATATGAGTGCTATAATTAGGAATATAACCTTTAAAAAAAATCCTAGTTACTCTATGTAGTTCTCATGATGAATAATGAAAAATAGCATCAGATTCCTATTTTTCTCCTTATATTTATTAATATTATTTATTATTAATAATAACAGATGTAAATGGATACCAACAATCCAGAGAAAGTGAAGCACCTTTTTCAATTGGGTTGTAAAGTTTATTTTTTTTCTTAGATGTTAGAATTTGGGTCCAACCATTCCTCTTTCTTAATAACATACTTTGATACTAAATACCCATAATGCATATGAAGGCATCTGACTTAAATTTGGTTTTTCCTACTGAGATCATGATAAAAACATGGGAATGAGACAATGAGTGATTATTGAACCAAAACAGCTGCTTACGACAGTCCAATTCTGTTCATATAGAAGTAAATGAGAAAATTTTGCCTTTCAGTCCACAGGAGAAAAGAGCTGCCCTAACTGAAGTAGCCACAACGCTATTATATTATCTCTGTCTTAGAGCTATTCAACTGAAAAATACTCTTACACAGTGTTAATAAATTACATTTCAAAAAATGGTGGTTTGCTAATTGATTTTACCATTGTATATTAATAACATCTAAACAAGACTACCAAAGCTATATAATAATACCATTTGTACCTTTGCCATATTAGCATGGAGAGTATTCATGATTTCAAGGTCACATGTAAAACCACCATATTGTATAAATCTGAAGAAAACAAGAACGCTAACTTCAAATACAGAAACATCTAGCAACTACTAATTCAAAGGAACAAATATATGTCATTATTACACACGTATGCTGCATTACATCACTTCATGAATTTGAAAAATCAGTGGAGGACTGAGAAACCTTGAAACATGTTTGTTTCTGGTATCTGAATAATGCAGAACATAGAACTTACAGCAGTATTGGCATACTTAATTCTGATAAGAGATCATGGCACCCTAAACAGGAAAGAGATGATCCTCTAGATTTGACTATGCTAACATACAGCAAGATACACTGCATAATGTTGGAGCTTTTCTATAGAGAATGTGGGGTTAAGTTTTTGTATTTTTATGCCATGGTAATACATTAAAGCATTTACTCTCTTATCCTCATTAAAACCTCCTGTAATTGATAACTAAATACCAGGACCCCTTTCATAGATACAGTGCCACACAATAAAGTTGCACACTGCTAATGGCAAATCTGGAAATGCAACTTAAGAGTTGCTAATTCTGTCTAGTCTCTGTTCTTCTGTGGCCACAGTTTCGTAAGTTTACCTGAACAGGCTGTTCATTTACTGTAAGGACTTGTAACCTTGGCCAAGCCCCTGTTGCCTTTAATCTCCACTCCTGACACTAAAGTTAGTATGTTTATCAGAGTTGGGAGTACCTGAATGAAGATGGTCAGGAAAAAAAAAACAAACTCTTCACACTCAGATGCTTCTGCATACTTTATCATCCATTGAGGATATGAACTTTCTGTGAATGAAATAGAAAAAGAAAAAATAAATACATCATTTATGGGAAAGAAATTACACAAACTCAGTTACTGAAAACTAAAATTACAATTAGATGGAACAGCACATGTGCATGTTTCTTAGTCTGTTTCAAATCCTTTAACATTTTGGGGAACAGGAAGCCTTTGCAAGATGACTGAGTTTAGTTCCCTTGAAAATGTATCTTCATTGAGACAGTTAATTCTCATAGGGAAACTTTTACAATGCAATTTTTTTCTTTTTCATTTCCATACAACTCATATTCCAAAAATTTGTCTCACTTGACCACAAGGTGGAAGTGGCTATGCGCATACTTTTAAGCTAAACTTATATTTCCTATTATTTGGCACGTTTTTTCCTCTTCTTCTTTCTTTACCTCCAGGTAAGCCACATAGCACAACAGTGAGCAAAGAGGTGAGATTCCTGTTGAAATGATGTAATGCTGAACATTAAATTTACACACAAGTGTTCAGAGTCCAGGTCACAGCGAGGTCACTCCTCTGAGTGGGAGGCAATCCAGCAAGGAACATGGGATAATGATTTCTCTATGCTGAGGCGCCTTTCATGAAATATAGCACAAAGCTCTACCTTGATATCTGGATCTAATCTGATTCAATGGGTATAATTATTGGGATTTGTTCTGTGGTAGTAAGGGGTGATAGTATTTTGTTACATGCTATATTGTGTCTGCTGTTCCTTTCAACCTACTAGCACCCAGAAATAACCTTTCCAGTATCTGAACTCTTACCCAGAGATAGTGGTTTAGATAACAGCTGGCTGAGGCTTTTTACAGAATGCAGCATATTTTTTAGAATTGGAGGAGATTACTTTTATTCTTGTTAAACAAAGAAAGGAGTTTGCCTTGGTTATTTCTGCAGTGACTCTAGTTCTGGATGCTTCTCAGCTATATTTATCCACTGTGCTTATTTACATCCAGGTATAGCTATCACACAGCCCTTTGTAACCTTGAGATGAGCCTACTTTAATGGCTTCCAAGTGGGTTCCACGTTGAGATAATAGGAAGTGCCTGCAGAGCATCTCTGCCCACATACAAGCAACCAGGCCTTGACAGGAGGCAGAGGCTCATCTAAGTGATTCAGGCTTGTGGGATAAGCTTTGCAAAACACCTGTGAGCCTTAAAAACATAATCACATCAAAAGGTAAACCAACCTGTACCACTTCCTTCCACAGTGCCAGTTCTCAGTCTCTTGCATATTGCACTGCCGGTGATTTTGCACTCTACCTGCAAGGTTTCCCACTGCCACATAACAGTCTTGCAGTCAGCCACAGGCTGACGACCACAGCACCAAGAGAGCGGCTGTCAGGGCCATTTTGCATGAAGCACATGCAGCTCCTACCCAGCAAAGCCCTAATGTGTTGATTTACAGAGTCTTCTTGGCTGACATGGGAAAATGAGTGTGGTCACAGTTGATTTAACATTTTATGGGCAAAGAGTCAGCCTGCTATAGTAAGTCTACATTAGTGCAAACATTTTACACGTTTACGCACAAGTCCACTGGAAAAAAAAAGTAATATTCAAGACACTAAGTGGTTTTGATGCTCCTATCTTTTGAGCTCTGTTAAAAATAACCTCAGTTTCAATCAAACACAAAGGTGTGCGTTACGAGCTAGACCCTAAAGCTGAGCTAGCGGCTCCGGGCCCGCCAAGCATACCCGCCAAGGGAGGAGTAACCCAGTCAAAGCACGGGCTAGGCTGTAGCAGGACCCAAGGCTCACCGCATGCCGCAAAGAGGTACAGGACCACACCGGCGAGCCCCACCCACCAGGTGCCAGCCCCACCGCGAGCACCGATCCACTCCAGTGCCTTCCCGCGGTACTTACTAGGAGTTGGGCACGTCTCCCCTTCCTACCCGGCTACCGCGGCTCCCCCCACCCCGTGGCAGGGGCGGGCGTAGCAGAGACGGGCGGCTCCGCCCTCCCCGGCGGAAGTGTCGGCGGCCGCGAAGCTGTCTGGCGGCTGTGGGCGGCGGCGCCGGCAGCGCGCTGGGTCTTTTTGCAGGCGTTGCTGCTTGGGCCTCCCCGCTGTAGAGGGTCGGGTGATTTTCCCCGTAATTAACTCAAACAAACCAGCCGCGGGGCGGCCGCTTAGCCCGCGCTGCCGCCGGTCTGTGTGCCTGAACCGAGCCCGCCGCCTAAGCCGGCAGGTAACGTCGCGCCATGCCTGGCAGAGAGGGCAGCTCCGCCGCTGGGACGGCGACCGCCACTACCTGCCCCACGCTGCCGGTGGGCGCCGGGCTGGGGGCACAGTGCCGGTGGGGAGAGGCGGTGGGTTTCTCTGCCCGTGGCGGCTTCCCGGGAGCAGCTCGGGGCAAACGCCGCGAGAGATGGGCTCGTTTCCGGCAGCCGCGAAGGGGCGAGAGGGGCCGGTCGCCGCGGCACCACGCTGGGAAAGCACGGCCCCGGCGGGCGCCTGCCTGGCCCGGTCGCGGAGCGGCCGATGTCCCCCTCAGCAGCCCCTCCCCGCTCGGCGACCGGCGCTCCCGAGACGAGCGCTGCTGAGCGGAAAATAAATTCATGAGGATAAAAAAAAATAACGCCTGTCACATTTACCTCCGGGTAGTTCATCGCCCGAAAGAGAGGGGAGAAAGCGCGTGTGCCTGCGAGGGGGTGCCAGGAGAAAGATGAGTGTTTCTTTCATTAACCTAATGGTAATTGCAAAAAGACTCCCTTTTTGTCAGCTTCACCTAATCAAAACCGAATATCTGTATGTGGCACTGACAAAATCAGTGAAATTTCACCTTCGACTTTATTGATCTGAAAAGCCAGGCAGAGTTTTCTATGGTGTTCAATTTAGGGAATTAAAAAAAATCACTCCGCTAACAGCATTTGGTACATTTCTAACCCATATGTCACCTCAGTGCTTTAAATAATTATATTTGCATGCAGGGAGTGATTCATAAATATGTCAGGATTGTGAAATATAGGCAGGCATTTCAAACTTTCTATTTAAAAAACATGAATTATGGCCACGAAAAATGTGTTCCCATTTAAGGGTGATACGAAGTATTTGGTGTCTAGTACGGAGGCCCATCCATCATATAGACAATAAAGAGAGTTTTTTCCTGACGTTGGAAATTTATGGTTGCCCTTCTCTGCCCTAATAACTCAAGCATTGTGTCAGCCTGTGACAGCCTTTGCAGAAAAACAGCAACCCTGTTATCAATCAAAAAGCCCTTTTACATTTTTAGCAAAACTCTGATCATCCAGACACCCTTTTAATGTATATATTACATCATTATAGATCATTCTGCACTTTTACTGCAACTCAACAAAATGATCCATCACTTCAGGACAGTCCTGATGAACGCTGATGTAAATTATTTGCACGTCGCTAGTACAGTACAAAATGAAAAATGTACTTTAGGTGGAATTAATTTTAGGGTGTAAAAAGCTAAAGATGAAAGCAGTGCGGATTAGAGGAGACCTAAATGCATCATTAGGGATGACTGAAAACAAGCTAATAGTTATTAAGATTAAGATTGTTTTAACCTTTTCGGATCGCGGACCTAGAGTCTTTCAAGAAGATAGCTAAGATGTATTACATGCTTCTCCCTGCCCCTGCCCAGACGTAGCCGTCTTGTAATTGCGTCAAGGATTATTGTTCATTTGTCATTCGGGTGTTTAGATAAGGTTAATTATTTGGGTTCCAATGCCTTTTCCAGCCATATCCTTGAAACTTATCCTCGCATCTCAAAAGACGCTATTCCTCACGCTGTTGAAGACGCATCTGCTTGATCCGCAGTTTCCATAACAAAGTTGTCAATAAACACTCGACATTTGGAATCCAAGTGACGAAGCTAAAGATCGCCTCCATTTGTGTGCCACAGTTAATTTCTGAGGGATTACTGTAACCAAATATGTGCTTAGTTGGTATAATACTCCCCCGTAGCCTCCAGGCTTTCGCAGAAGATAAACATAGCCTTTATGATTGCTGAGATTCAGTGATCAGACCAAGGTGTTACAGATGCTGAAAGACTCTTTTTTTCACTCTTAAAGCCTAGGCAGCAAATGCCGTTTAGAGTACATACGTACAAATTGGGAAACGTGTTCACTTGCATTGGGCTCGATCACTTTAATCGTAGTACATTTAATAACATGAAATGGCACTAAAAATCTCCAGGTACTTAAGAGGAAATACACTCAGCCTTTCCAGTGTCATCACACTCGTGTGACTTGCTCTCTCCCTCGCCCTCTAGAAAGTTACCTTAAGGCTTATTTAAAATAAAAGCTTTTTGAATAAGAAACACCTCAAACATAAAAGAGGATAGCTTTGGAAAATAGCTGTTGGTAAAAGGGTTTCAACACGAGAGTAAAAATTTTCGCACTCTTACAGGAAACAGTGTCAATAGGGGAATCTATCAAAGGGCTTAAAAGAGAGAGGTTTGGGGGGGGGGTGTTATTAGGTGCATTAATCTCTTCCTTATCTCAGCGTAACAAAAGGAACAAAATCAGACAAACTCATTCGAAAACATTTTCGGAAAAGGTGTATTTCCGAAAGTAGTAAGCAATCAACAGAAAAGTGATTTTGTGCTCGTTTAGTAAAAATTCCACTGATGACCAAAATACACGTTCACTTAAATGCGGCTATTATTTGAAGATGGCTCTCAAATTATCAACGCTTATAAAACCATTACCTATATCTCATGCAGAGTAAAATATATATTGCTTATTTATATTAGGAAAGTAATTACAATCACAAGGGTAAATATTTTAAAGTACTATGCAAACATGGGAGAGGTTTGCAAATCTTTCTTTCTGTTGGCAAGCATTCAAAGTATTTACTTTAATGACATTCTGGAAGAAATACCCTACACCTCCGCCGGATACCTGGGCAGATGCATCAGCTACTCTCTGCGCACATGCAGCCTTGTCTTAGAGAAAAAGAAAAGGGGAAAAAAAAAAAAAGGTGCCTCTGCCCCAAAATACGAATTGTTGGTACGGTATTTCTGATAACCCATCACATTTCTTATCCAAAGTATTATCATTCTTGGGAGAAAGGAAGGGGGGGGGGGGGAGAGAAAAAGAAAAAAGAAATAAAGGAGATGCACCGTTTACAAAAATCTATTGCAATGCATATCTTCATAAAAGCTTTGGGGTGGATAGTGAAACGCAGGCACTACCAGAGCAAATAAATCTGATGCTTAGGACGGACAGACAGGTAGCTGAATTGCGTTACACATGGAAATATAGCCCAGACACAACTCAGCAAGTACATTTCTGTTAATTAAAAGCTTAACCTTGTTCTAAACGGTAGACGAGAGAGGGGGGTGGAAAGAACAAGGAAAAAGAAAACAACTAAGGGGCCTGTAGGGTTGTTGCCGTTCAGTTTAAAAAGACTAAACGCCCTCTTCCAACATGATCTACAAAAGCTGACACGTAAATGGCAGGAGAGAGGGCTCGCAGAGCTGGCACGCTGGTGCCAATATTCCTGCAGTTCCCTCTCCCGAGGGAAAAACATTCAGTCCGGGTTTTTCGGTTGATCCTGACCAGGGTTTACAGCTCGCCAGCCTGACCTGTCAAGCGGATTATTTTAGAGGGAGATTAATAGGGGAGGCGGGCTGCAATAATAATCGTTTTGTTTGATGTGACAACTTTGATAGGCGTTGATTTACTTACAAACTGATAGGCTTTTAATTGAGCGCCTCCATCCAGCTTGAGATGAAAGGAAAACCGCATTGAAAAGCTGCCCGAGTGCCCTCGAGCCTCAATACTGATTAGCCATCTCGACAGTGAATAGTTCAAGGCATTTTCAAACTTTTTTTCCTCTCTCGCTCTCCTCTCCTCAAATATCTGCCAGCCCACTCCTTTTTAAGAGAAAATAAATCATTTCCATTGTGTGCAAATAAAATCGACTTGACATGCTTGCCAATAGCTGGTAGGTAAAGGAAAGTGTGGACTGGCACTTGTTAATTAATTCCTCCTTTGCTCTCCCTTTTTTTAAGTTACAATTTTCCTTTGTAAGAGGAGGAAGACGGGTTCCAACCCTTCGGTTTTCCTGTGTTGGTGGTTTGCTGCCTTTTCTTTTTTTAAGGAGAATAAAAACGACAGCCACCAAAACTTCAACAAGATGACACAAGTAACTGCAGAACAACAGACTGCCTGCACGGACTCAGTAAGCAAAGGTCCCTCTCAACCGGGACGGAATCCCTCTTCTTCGGCTCAAGAGAGGAAAGGAGCCCGCAGCAGCCAAAGCAAAAACGCCGCACCGCTTCCAAGCTGCAGCCCGCCGCCCGCCCCTACGAGTGTGCATCCCAACTCTGAAACACTCACTGAGAATCGGTTCCTATGTGTGTTGAGCGCAGTGAACAAGCTCTCATAGCTCAGAAACGCTCCGGAGGGGGGCAAAGGGAAGGGGATGTCTTGGGGCTGTTTTTTTTACAAGCTTCTGCATAAAAAGTTTACAGTACTGAGCGTGATTTCAATCTCATTTCAAAGGCTGAGTGGAGGGGGCCGGGGGGGGGGGGGGAAGAACAAAAAAAGCTGTTCTCTGAAGTTACTAATTAAATTACCCTCTGATGCTTCTACTTCAGCCAGAAAGATCGGGGTTAGTGCTGTTCCCCCTTTTCTTCCCTCCGCTCTTACCGTCGGTGAACTGCCTGTTTTACACATGTACTGGTTATCGCTTTTGCTTCCTTGGCTCACAAGTAAAAACAACCCTTTCCAGAAATCACCCTCACCTCCACAAGAAAAGACAGAGGGAAGGGAAAATGGGGAGGGGGGAGCCTTCCTACAGCTGACTCTACCTTAAGACAATTAATCTTTAGTCTTTCACCCTGGGAGGCAGGATAAATACAACGAGAAAACAGATAGGAGTCTCCCTGGTCCTGTAAGGAAAACAGCTGTTCCAAGCACTTTAATGCAAATGAACACAAATGAAGGTTTCAGCTTTTTTTTTTTTTTTTTTTTTTCCCCTTCCTTCTTTCCCTTCCAGAGTTTTACTGCACTCCATTTATCAATTGGACTTGACAACAAAAGAAAGAACTGGGGGAAAACCTGGGACAGATTCAAGTCACTTCCACTCTATATAAAGGTGTGGGGGGGGGGAGTTCCTTAAAGGCAAGTTGTGGGTCCTGTCAGTCCTATTGCGATATGGGTTTTTATTAGAGATTTCTTTCACCACGCCCCCCCCCCTTCAATTTTCACAGTCTTGTAAGATGACTGAGATTGCAAAATCAAAGTACGTTTATGACTTTCCACTGGGAAGTTGTGGCAGTAAGCCTTATGCTTTCAGAGAAATGCAGAAATTAAAAAGTTTATTAAAATTAATTGTACATTTCTTAAGCTAGAGGAGTTCCACATATTTACCATGCCCTATACACTTCGTTGAAAAAGTAAAGTAGTTTTAATAAAAGGCAGCATATATACTTACTTAGCTGCAGGATTTAAAGAGTACCGCTTTACCGGGGAGGGGGGAGGGGGGAGGAACACACACCACATATCTAGGAAAACCTGCCTTATGTCTACCTCGTAAGAAGAGCGTATCATTAAAGGCTGACACATCTGTTTAGGGACTGGGGGAGATCGGTGTTTCAAGGGAAGAAAAAGGACTTAGTTCAGCAGATATAAACGGGAGAAAGTGAAAGTCTTTCCTCTCGCTCACCCCTTCCAGGATCAGCGCCTGTTCTGGTCGGAGTCCAGGTCAGGAATTGGACGCGACCCCTAAAGCACTTGCCTTGTTCTTCACTTGTCAAACGTGTTTTATCGCTAAGTGACCTTTTTGTTAATGTTGTAGATTGTGTGGGCCACCATGTCAGATCCGGAAACAAAAGTAAAAGATTAACACATTTTGCCTGTGAAAAAATGTTACGGGATAAGGAGGTGGGGGGATAGTGGGATGCAAAGTACAAAGAGAAAGAAAAACGCAACCCTGGGAGCGACAGAAAGGCTATGGACTCCGATCGGGGCGTCTGCCTGCACGGTAAAAGCCGGGGTTGGGGGCAGAAGACCTGGTACGCTTCGAGAGCATACAAACACAAAGCAGGATATATGTAACACTCGGGTGGATTGCGTGTGCACACCCACGAGATTCTCAATACAGCCTAGCCGAAAGCAAACACTTAAATGGCGAACCGATACGATACTCTCGCTGAGGTGAGGGTGCGCCTCCCCAGGCCCCCAGTGCCTGCGATCGGGCCAGACCGGCGGGTGCAGGGACGAAGGGCTCTTCTTCAAAGACGACGAGGAGGGCAGGGGAAGAAGAGCCACGCAGTCCTCCCCGGCCCCACACCGCGGACTCCGAGCAGGGCAGCGCTGTGCGGGGAAGGCTACCGGGTGCTGGCACACAAATAGAGTTTACTCAAAGGATTTATTCCGTAAACGGAATGGCTTTTTCTCCCGAGAAACCCGTCGCTCCCTCTATTTTCCTTCCCCTCTCTCTCTTTCCCCCTTCAAGTCACACCAGGCTTGTAATCAGCAACAAAAGCTGACATAAATCAAGGGCGGATTGACAGGGGCTGACAAATAACTGATTGATTGCGGTTGGGGAGCACTGACAATTGACGGCGGGGCGGAGAGACCCGAAAGGCGGCGGCGAGCTGTGCGTGACAGCCCCGCGTGTGACGACCGGCCTCCCCCAATCCCGCCGCGCTCCCCGCGCCGCCGCAAGCCGCGCCGCAGCTCCCCATCTCCCGCCCGCCGCCGGCGGTGAAGTGGAGGCCGCCGCTCTGCAGGTTCTCGTCCGAGCCTACCCCCGCGTTGTCAGGCGGGAGGGGCGGGAAAAGCGCTCGCGCCCTTCTTCGGGGCCTGGAGAGGACGCGGCGCGGCGGAGGCCACGGAGCTGTCCCGACGGGCTT